TTTATCTTCGTCCGAAGGCATAGTAGTTTCAAAACAATTATCCGAACATTTATATCTAGGGTCAAGCCTAACAAAAGTCCAGAACTATAAATGTTTAGTTAGCATATTAAATATTTCTAATGAAGCTCAAACTATCCATACACCTAGAGTGAATGTCGAACCTATTTCTTTTAATGAGTACGAATTTATAGAAACATATAATTATGACATTATCGATCGTTTTGCTAAAATAAGAAAAGAAATTAATCTAGACCAATTAAATGAAGAAGAAACTAATTCAGTATTAGATATTTGTAGAGATTTTAACGATATTTTTTACTTAGAAGGCGATAAACTAACAAGCACCAACACAATAAAACACACTATACCGACAGAAAGTAATAAAGGTCCTATTAACGTAAAACCTTATAGATTGCCTTTCAAACATAAAGAAATAATTAATGAACAAACTGAGCAAATGTTAAAAGACGGGGTAATTTCCGCTTCGGACAGTCCTTGGAATAGTCCTTTACTAGTTGTTCCTAAGAAAAGCGACCCATTATCACCTAAATTTAGAGTATGCGTTGATTTTCGAAAGTTAAATGAAATTACCATTGGAAACGCATATCCTCTACCTAATATAGCAGAAATTTTAGACCAGTTAGGAAAATCTCATTATTTTACTACCTTAGATCTTACTAGTGGATTTCATCAGGTAGAAATGGACGAAAAAGATAAAAATAAAACCGCTTTTAGCACTAATACAGGACATTACGTTTATAACAGAATGCCTTTCGGTTTAAAAGGAGCTCCCGCCACATTTCAAAGACTCATGAACACAGTTTTAAGCGGTCTTAATGGTATGAAATGCTTTATTTATTTAGATGATATAGTAATTTATGCAAACAACTTAAATGAACATAACGATAGATTAATTGAAGTTTTTCAAAGATTTAGACAACATAATTTAAAACTTCAACCTTCGAAGTGTCAGTTTTTACGAAAAGAATGTTTATACTTAGGTCACATTATTACAGAAAACGGCATTAAACCAGATCCATCAAAAATTCAATGTGTAACAAACTTTCCGCAACCTAAAAATCCTAAAGATATAAAATCTTTTTTAGGGCTTGTAGGATATTATAGGAAATTTATCAAAAATTTCGCTAAAATTGCTAAACCTTTAACCGAATTATTAAAAAAAGATTCTGTTTTTAATTGGGGTATAAAATGCGAAAATTCTTTCCAAATTCTTAAAGATAGTATAACTTTTCCACCTGTTCTCCAATACCCAGATTTTACCAAAGAATTTATTATAACAACAGATGCGAGTAATTTCGCAGTAGGAGCAATTTTATCGCAGGGTAAGGTTAATCATGATCGTCCAATAGCGTTTGCTAGTAGAACTCTAAATAAAGCAGAACAAAATTATTCAACTTCAGAAAAAGAGCTAACTGCAATCGTCTGGGCAGTAAAACATTTCCGTCCATATATTTTTGGCACAAGATTTAAAATTGTTACAGATCACAAACCCCTACTCTATATATTTAATATCAAAGACCCTGGTTCTCGTTTGACGCGTTTTAGAATAAAACTTGAAGAATATGACTATGAAATAATTTATAAAGCTGGAAAGATTAATACAAATGCTGATGCATTGAGTAGAATAGTTAGCACAACAAATGTCAATTCTATTATTACCAATTATGATAATTTTAAAACACATCTCGAAAGCCATATAATTATTAATTCCAAAGTCAAAGAAAAAAACACAAATCTGTTTGAAACACCACAACTTATACCTATAGTTTTATTTTTGCCAAAATTATTCAACAAAAACGACTTTAAAATTCTAGAAAAAAATAAACAAATTAATACATTTTTAGAACATTACGATAACACAAATCCTTTAGACATGCCGTCAGTTTTTCAGTATCAACAAAATAATTGTAATATATTTCTATTAACAGACAACGAAAATACATTCAGTGATATTAATTATGAAAATATTTGGTCTTGCTTACTAACTTTACGAAATATTATATCCAACGAAAAAACCGAACTATCATTTATAAAATATCATTACAACTCATTAGTCAAATGGGAAATCGTTCTTCCTATGATAAGATATATTTTTAAAGACCTCTATTCAGAAATTACAATATTTAACAACAGTCTTATCAACCCCTCAGATGCTGAAAAAGTTGTATTATTAAATGAAAATCACAATTGTCCATTAGGAGGTCATCAAGGGTCATCCCGCACATATAAAAAATTATCTCAATTATATACATGGAAAGGTATGAAAAAAGACATAAAAGAGTTTATAAAAAAATGTGAACTTTGTCAAAAAAATAAACAGTCTCGAAAAACAAAAATGCCTATGGTAATTACGACCACGGCATCAAAACCGTTCGAAAAATGTTTTTTAGATATAGTTGGACCACTACCAGAAACCGAAAATGGTCACAAATACATATTAACCTTTCAGGATGATTTAACAAAATATATAATTAATATACCTATGAGAAATCAAGAAGCTGTAACTGTAGCGCATCATTTTGTAACGAATATTATATGCATTTACGGAATACCTGACATGCTAGTCACAGATCAGGGGTCAAATTTTTTAAGTGATATTTTTAAAAGTACTTGCAAGTTTTTAAAGATAAAAAAGATCCAAACAACAAGTTATCACCCAGAGTCAAACGGAGCACTAGAACGCTCTCATAAAGTTCTAGAAGAATATTTAAGACACTTCATTAAGACATCTCAAACAGACTGGGATAATTGGATTCCCTATGCAACATTTACATATAATACTACACCTCACACTGCTACACAATTTTCTCCATTTGAACTTTTATTCGGACATATTCCTACATTACCAACATCAGTTAAACAACCACCTAAAGTCAATTATACTTATGATGATTTCATAAACAATCTTAAACAAAAAATGCAACATTCTAATCAATTAGCTAAAGAAAACTTATTAAAATGTAAAAACATATCAAAAAATAATTACGATAAAAACAGTTATACCAGAATATTCGAAATTGGTGACAAAGTGTTACTTTACGACGAATCAGTTCGACGTGGCAGAAGTAAAAAACTTTCCGCCTTATGGATTGGTCCATATACCATTATAAAAAAAATATCAGATGTAAATTATACAATTCAAAAAAGGAAAAAAATAAACAAACTATTCATGCAAAATAGATTAAAATATTTTTATTATTAAAACTAAACATAATCAGTATATATAGATTATAAAAACTAGAATTAATAAATTTTAATTAGCTTATTATTAGTATATATATTTTGTTTTAGGGTTAATTTATTTATAATAATTACCAGTAACACTTGGTTATTTGCAGTTCCTCATCCAGAAACTCTTACGATATCATGTAATAATAAAAAAAATCACGTAGATGTAATACTAAAAAATTGCGGTAGTGTCACTATAGGTAAACAATGTAAAGCTTATAGCGCATCATCAATGCTAATCCCTCATGGAAATACAGTCCAGTCCAATATTTCAAGTGATTTTATTCCACCATTCGACATTAGTGATAATTGTTGCGAAAGGATAAAGGAAGAAAAAATAAACATTAGTGAAATATTTCTCAACGAACATTATAGGAAATTAACAAAGCACATCCCCGAACTTAATGTAGCGAGCCATAAGCTAGAAGATATTGAAAAGTTAGGTGATGAAATTCTAAAAAGGAAACTTGTAAACAATTATACATTTCCAGCATCTGTAATTGCCTATATCTTAGCTCTTCTTGCTATTATTTTTATTATTTATAAATTGTATACAAAATGTACTAACAAGACAGCCTGTTGCGGAATTATTCCAAACTTATGCATTAGAGTTAATCAGTCTGTGGAACCATCTTCTAGAAATAGTGATAGATATGTTGCTCATTATAATCGTAATATTAGCCAAAACTCTGAAAATGTAGGTAACTATGAAAACTCCGAAGAAGAGAATGTTAATTTACAGGCGCCCTCGCGCAGACCCATTGGGTATGTACCATCAAGGCGACCATTAAAAGAAAAATAATTTCCGCATTTGATACATTTTTAAATCTGCAATAGTTATAAAAAAAAATGTTAGTTAAGTTAGAATGTAAGTTAGTTATAATTAGTAGTTAAGACTTGTATAATACTTTTATATATGTACTTTTATTCATTTCCATCTGAGTTATACTAATTAATTATATAAACATTTGTTTTGAGATTTCATATCACTTTCACCTCATGAAATCTCTCATTAAGGGGGGAGGTGTTGTGAACATACATTTAATATGGTTATATGTATATGTATATTCGACAAATTGTATAAAATATTATTTTTACCCTTATTCTACGGCTATGCCTAAAGAATTTAAGGTACGAAAAATACCATCAACATTATTATTCTTCTCAGAAAGATGGGTGATGCAAATAAACAGAACCATTACCTTAAGATGAAATTTGGAAGAAATAGTCATAAAAGTTGCATCATTTTTTAGTTTTCCTTTGTATTCGTTTTACTTTCAGACGCGATGTCTGGTTTCTATTTACTTAAGAAATGAGGTCAGCGTTTTGTCCCTTTTTTTGCAAACCTACCTGAAAATATTATTGAAATAGTAGGTACGCCCGTGGAGTTTTCGGAGAGGGCATTCTCATAAAAGCACGGTCACAGAAGGGACCGGGGACATTCATAAAATTTTTTCATAGACGTAATACTGCTAAATTTATATTTTGTATTAAAAGTTTAAAAATAAAAAGTAATAACAACTTAGTAAGAATTTAATTATAAAAAAATAAAGAATAACATTCCCAACAAGTGGTGATACGAGTCAAATAGAGAACTACAACATTTGGTGGCAGCGACTACAAGATTGGTGACGACGGTGGTCCAATCCAGGATCACGACAATGTGCAGTAATACATCTTTAAAATTTAGACACAAAACTAAAGTACAAAGCTATACGTGAACTGTAATTAACAAAAGCCGCTAAACTTACCCTCTTTCCTCGTATATCTGCGAATATTTGGCCAGATATCTGTCTTTGCAGCCGGCCCATCCGAACAAAACAATAACCGGTAGTTTTTCCTCATTGACGACAAAAACAAAATCCGACTCGGCATTGTTCTGGTTGTAATTGAAATTGGGATTGGGGAATTTGATGTGATATTCCAGACCGTCTGGGTTAGCCATTTTTAGGGAACAGCGAGTTTTGCGCGTGTTCCTCTACCGCCGGTCTGTATCGATTGAATTATATTTCCGTGACGTGCAGACCGGCCCTGAAATAATTCCCGTTGTTGCTGTTTTATTGACGAATTTGGAAAAAGTCGAATTTGAAAATTAGAACGCAAATTAGCGTAGTTGGTTAAAATTGGCTATTTAATGTCCAAGTCCAATTTTTAACGAAATTACTGCTCTCAGACGCAAAAAAACGCAACGGAGAAATTTTTGGTCAAATTTAAAGTGCTATATTTGTGTTGTTTTTAGCCTTATTTTCATAAGTTTTTTAGCAAGTTGTATATAATTATGTGAACTTTAATTCGTAAACTCAGTTTATATAAACTTAGTTTTTGGCATATTATACAGGGTTAATCGAGGGGTTGTTTTTTACCCTAACTTTAAAAGACCCTGTGCAATAATTTCGTTTGTAAATTTTCCTAAAATTTAATTTTGCGGTTAGAACCATGTTTCCTGTGTATTTTGTTTTTTGGATCATGTCAGTACATGCCTTCGTTAATTTTTAAGAGGAAAATGAACTGATCACAATCAATTTGCAATTTTTTCAATTATCATTACCTTTTGCTTTAATTTTTTAATATAACGAGTTGGTTTTGGTGACAAACAAATTTTGCATTGGGTATTCTATACTAAATCAAAACAAACTGTTAAAGACTGAAGATACAGTCCTGGTTTAAATAAACATTAATAACGATAATAGGAAAAAAAAAGAAAAAAAAAACATCTGTAATACTCAATTATACAAACAGAGAAAAAAAAATATAAAAAATACCCTGATACTTTGTATTGCCTCCCTTGGATGCTATAACTACCTGTATAGGTCCATTTATACTGTCAATGAGGCTGCATATATCATATTGCGTTATTTTTTCCCATTCTTCTTTAGGGCTCAAACACACTGACGACCAGGTCGCACCGACCAGGCCGCACCTACCTCTAAAACCATTAAATCAAATGAGATAGCGCACACTAACGTCCTGGCCGTCCGTTGGTCGTTGCGACCAGAAAACTGCACGGAAATATTATTATTTTCTGCCGCTTGTTCGCCGGGTTTTCTTCCAATTATTAATAATTTTCAGATGAAATCCACCTCAAATTCAAAGGCACAATATTTTTATTTTCTATAAGATATAGTGTTTTTAGTGTAGTTTTTTTCACACGTGCAGAAAATCCAAAGAAATAGTATACAGACTGGATCAAAGGTAAACTTAAATCTAATCCCTTTTTTTATCAAGGGTCGATTCTAGTAAAAACTCAAAACATTTTTATATGATATACCTACTCTATTTATGGTTGGTATGATACGTGTAATAACAGGTAAACTCAAAGGTATAATAATACCTTTGAGTTTCGGTATAATAATACCTTTGAGTTTCGATATTAAAAAATAAAAAAATAATATTTAAAGTTTATCTACAATCACTTGTTTTTTTTATTAAATTAGTTTTTTTAGTTGTATTCTAGTCATGTACAAGGAGGACAACTGTATTTTAAATATTATATTTAATTTAACGTTTTTCAAACAGGGTTCATTAGACTATATTTCTACTAGGTACACTATTTTGAAAAAAAATTAAGAAAGTAACTTAAACATTCATAAAAATAGAAGTCATTACTGTTTTGTAGAGATTTACTTCTGTTATATTGTAAACATTGAAAATAACTGGAAGCTAAACTTTCTACCTGCTTATATTTAGAGCCAGTGACTGACGATCTTTTTTACGATGGCCCTAATATGTTTACTTCTAAAGTCGATAAGGGCGCCATATCAGTAGAAAAAAGAAACAGAATATCTCCCTTTTTGTCGGTCGCGCGTACACAATGTTTTTTGTTTGTTGTGAATAGCAACTTCGCTTTTTAGTTAACTCGGATATTTTAACATTTCTGAAACAATATTTTCTAATGGGTAAAACGTAAAAAATCGTTAGATCTGATAACTCTGTTGACACTGGTCGTTCATCTGGCCGCAGCTAAAAACGCAATGCATCCGGCCAGCCGACGGCCAGGTCGTTGCGACCTGGTCGTCAGTGAGTTTGAGCCCTTAAGGACCAAGCGAAGTTTATTTAATGAAGCTGGTACCGCTTCGCGACCTCTAACCCTCCTGCCAGGCATTCCCCAAACATCTAACATGATGGGCAGTTCATAGTAGTAGTATATAGTTCATAAAAATCACCAAAGCCGCCTTGCCATATTAAAAAATAACTTCAAAAAGAAATAATAGATCATTGAAAAAATTGCAAATTGTTGGTGGCAAATTTTAAGTCATTTTGCTCTAAAAAATTAACGAAGGCATATATTGACATGATCCAAAAAACAAAATGCTCAGGAGACATGGTTCTTACCGTAAAATTATATATTAGAAAAATTTACAGACAAAATTATTACACAGGCTGTTTTAAAGTTAGGGTAAAAAAACAACCCCTGGTTAACCCTGTATAATATGCCAAATGCTAAAGTTTATAAAAAACTGAGTTTACTAATTAAAGTTGACATAATTATATACAACTTGCTAAAAAATTTATGAAAATAGAGCTAAAAATAACAAAAATATAACACTTTGATTTTGACCAAAAATGTCTCCATTGCGTTTTGAGTGTACAGGATGGGTCAAATTAGACGCTTTTAAATGGAAACACCCTTTCCTATAGGAGATAGACGAAAACTAATATCGGTGTCTGGAGCTCAATTTTCATCAAAAACATGATGGTGAGAACCGCACATCAATATCCGTTACCGTTTCGGAGTTACGGGGTGTTTTTCAAAAATGTGCATTTTTAACAAATCGCTGTAACTTTTTTACTATGGAAAATTTTGTATTTCTATGAAAACATTTCCAAAGCAACTTTTTACGTAGAATTTAATGGTTTAAGTATAATTTTTTTAAAATTAATAATTTAAGAGTTATCAACAAAAAAAATGATTTTTTATTTGGGACACCCTCTATATTTTTAATAAACTGAAAAGAATTTAAAATTACCTTTCCAAAAATATAGCACACTTGATATTTTGTTATAATCTCCTTCGAAATACAGAATTTTTAAAAGTTCGCCACTTTTAACTAGTAGGCTTTGGACTTTGGACCCCTTATTGATGATATGCCCTTAATGGAACTCGAAAAAATATATTTCCAGCAAGACGACGCACCGCCTCTGAACGCTGAAGTTATCAGCAAATTTTTGCAGTCAATTTCAAGAATAATTGAATAGCTAACCAAGACCCCAGCCGTTGGCCGTCGAGGCCGCCTGACTTAGTGCCCATGGATATATTTGCGGAAGAATAAAGGTTCCTTATTCTTCCGTATAATCTAGACAAGAATTAGAAATACTTAGCAGTTATGAGAGGGTATATTTCACACCTACTGAGTTAATGAATTCCGCGAGAAATGTTCAAAAACTGCCCCCTCTGTCCATAACAGAAGACGGTCGATATGTCGAACACCTGTAGCAAAATCTTATGTCTTGGTTTGCTATTTATTTTTATTGTTATTAGATATAGTTTAAATGCGTTGATGTTAGTTAAATATATTTTAAATTGCTATAAAATTCTGCATCTCTCATAGCAAATATTATTTTCGTTTTAATTGATGCTCACAGCTAGAATTTTTTTGCATTACAGCCGGTGCCGTTCAAAGCCTACTTATTTAAAGCCGGCGAATTTTTATATACTCTATATCTCGAAGAGGAATCGAGCAAAATATCAAGTGTGTTATATTTTTGGAAAGGTAATTTTAAAGTATTTTCAATAAATTAAAAATATACAGGGTGTCCCATATAAAAAATCAAATTTTCTCTTGATAATCCTTAAATTATTAATTTAAAAAAAATATACATAAACCATTAAATTCTACGTTAAAAGGTGCTTTGGAAATGTTTTCATAAAAATACAAAATTTGCCTTAGCAAAAAAGTTACAGCGATTTGTTAAAAATGCATATTTTTGAAAAACACCCCGTAACTCCGAAACGGTAACAGATATCGATATGCAGTTTTCACCATCATATTTTTGACAAAAATTGAGCTCCAGACACCGATATTAGTTTTTGTCTATCTCCTATAGAAAAGGGTGTTTCCATTTAAAAGCGTCGAATTTGACCCACCCTGTACATTAATATTATACAACTATGGTATGTACCGGTTGTTTTACTAAAACAGCCCCTACACTTTCCTCGAAATGTTATACGAAAGATTTCTGGACATATTTCGTGAAACATTTTGCAAAACATTTCTGAAAATAATACGATAAATATAAGCCCGTGTTATAAAAATTAGTCCCCACGTTTCCTGAAATTGATCGAGACTCGCCGTGATTGGTTATTTGTTTTTTATTGTTAACCCAGATTAACAAATTTAAAAATCAATAAACATTATTCAAAAAATGGAATTGAGCTATTAAAAAATTATCATAAATAATTTCTTTCAAATGGAAACCCCCTTTTTATTTTACTAGTGAAAAGTTTTTCAATTTGTTACTTTTTGACTATACATGTTCCTATACCTAAAATAAATCGTTTTTAAGTTATTTAAGATTTAGTTTTAAAACGTATATTTTTCTTGATTTTATCTAGGTTCCTTTGACATTAAGTGTCAGACAATTTATTCCCTTCTGTCAAAAAACGAATTATTTGAATTCCGTATATTGTAAATACTGCTGGTAAAATAAGTGTATTTATGAAAATATAATATATCTAGTATTTTAGTGATAGCTAATGGCAATATGACATGGCCAGATATAGTTTTACATTGCCGTAACGATTAAAGTCATAAGTGGCTGGTTAAAAAAACCAAAAATTTACTCTTTAAAACTAAATCTTAAATAACTTAAAAACGATTTATTTTAGGTATAGGAACATGTATAATCAAAAAGTAAGGAATTAAAAAACCTTTTCACTAGTGAAATAAAAAAGTGGGTTTAAATTTGAAATAAATGATTCATGATAATTTTTTAATCGCTCAATTCCATGACTGCTACGACCAATATTATATAACATTCGAACAATTTAATTTCTTAAATAGATAGCCACATGTCTTCTCTTTATGTCACACTGGCTGTGGTAACCACTAAATTTGTTGTTTAGACAACACAACAGTTTTTTTTGACAGGCAGTTTTTTTCCTCCAAAAATTTTAATTTTTTTTTCTCAAAAAACGGTTAAGGTTAGATATCAAAATTCATAAAATTTTATAGAGAA